ATTTTCAGGATCTGTGGCCGGATTGGATGTAAGCCATTCCTTCTTAGACTGTCCGGACTTGGCAAGGTCAGCCAGCTCCTTAATGGCCACGAAACCACCTGAATGAAATTAAGACCATGTGACATTTTTTTGAAATACCGCATCATCTGCATATATTATAGTATGCTTTCTATTTCGAGAGACTATCTGCTTGCCGCGGACATAGGGCCAGAAAGAACATCGGTTAAATGCTTCATTGCGAACATGTTTCAACAAACGTAGCATTTAAAACGTTCTTTCTGATGTAGGAAGCACAAGCTCAGAATTGCACGATTCTAATAGGTATGTAAGTTTGTAAGTACAAGTTCTCTTAATACGGCAACATAATAAAGAACATGTCCAGGAAAAATTTTTTTTCTAAGCTGAACCTTAAGAGCAAAATGCTAGGCAGTGTGGGCTGTGAAAAATACCCATGCCTATAAAAAATCTGCACATAGAACATTCTTCTATCAAAGTAGTAGTATTGAAGACTTAGGAAGGTCCTGCACACCTAGGTTGTTTTTCCCGACGCCTAGAAACTTATTGGATCGCTCAATCATGCTCCATTTTATACCAAGTTACTATTCAGTTGTGAATATGTTTTAGCATTTTACTCACCTTGCACGAAGAGCACTCGAAAGCCCAGATTAATCAGACTATTGATGAAAAATCGGACGGATTCACGCGAGGACGAAACATCCACACTGGAAGCGTCGTAGGCAATAAGGACGTTTTGGGCCTCGGTGTCTGTTTTCGGGGAACTTTCAGCTGCTTCGGGGACTGGCATCGTGTGTTCAAACAGCTTCACCGCATGTCTGGCCAAGGATTTGGTAGAGCAGTTGTAATTCCGGGCACCCACCACGTGTTCCGCATTGAACTGCCACCTCTCTCGTAGATCGAGACAGACCTGCTGACCAGGGGCTTGCATAAAGAGTTCATAGACGGTAATTGTGGTACGGTCGAGATGTGGCAAGGTTGTTGGCAGGCTGCTGCTACGTATTTTTACCAGGATGTGGCCACATTTATTGGGTTCATAGCTGTAACCACGTTTTATCTTGTTCTTGGCCGTGGCGTTGCACGTGTCGCATTCTTGGATATATAAACAGCCTCTGTTCTCCTGATCCTCAAGACCCACCTGATCTAGTACTTCACGCATGATGAGAAAGCTCAAGCTGCAGTGACTTGGCACGCTGAATACATGACGTGAGCACTTCAGCTCCGAAATTTATAGGAGGTTTCCTGCACCGCCATTGGCTGGAATGGGAGCCAATCACGACAGCCCATCGACAACAGGTGATGTAGTTATCGCACACGTTAGCGTAAGCAGTGAAAGTTGTGTAGCCGCGGGAGATTTTATTATAATTAGTACGCTAAATTGGATTACTTTTCACTGTCGCCCAAGTGTGACGCATACTTCCCTGAGGCTAATTTTCGCATTCAAGTTGTGCGTATACGTAACGCAGAAGAAGAATGCACCTCGATCGCCGGAAGTATGTTTTTATTCAGCTGAGTTCATACATTTTCACAACAATCGTCCAGTGGCTCACAAACTAAGCTGCATGAGGACGCAGTTCAAAGGAATCCAGACTCACTGCAGTAACACGGAAGAAAATGCATACGATACCCGATATCTCCGCGACCATTTTATGTGGACTGGCTATCCGAAGGCTTTCATAAGCCGATGCCTACTTGTTCGTCCACCTAGGAATTAACCAGAACCAGCCTGTACAATATGACATGCGCTGACATGCATCAAAAACGGGTGAGAAGTGGCGAAGCGCATTGCTGCGGGACTAGGCATCACAATTGCACGCCGGCCCGAGGATACCGTGCGCAGTCCAGTCATGAAAATAAAGGAACGGGTAAATCCTAGTGAGCAGTCAGATGTAGTGTATCGCATACCTTGCGTAAAATGTCGTCGAATTACATAAGACAGAATGGAGCTTGCTTTGCTCGCGCATACACAAACAAAGGCTGGTTGTAAGACGGGGTGACGCATCGTCACGAGTGGTTGTCCATACTTACAAGACAGGTCACGAGTTTAACTTCGGAGCCGCGACGATAATCGCCCACGCCAGCAACAAGGCAAATCGAGAATTGATTGAAGCCTGGGTTTCAGACGAGAACTCAATCAATCGACTTATCGACCTGGCGGTGGAATACAGAGTCCTAAACAGTCACCTCAGGACTTACGTCACTGGTGGTTGGGTGTCCCTACCCCCTATTATTGTTGCTTGTTTTTCGTTCCCGCTTTTAACTCTGACTGTAGACTTCAGTAAGAGTTTGGAAGATCAGACGAAGGAAACCACTATTCCGGTGATCAAAGTGCCTTATTCTTCTTCTTTTCCTCCTTTGCCTGGTTACTACCGTCTTGATCAGCCTTGTGAATTTGTCGGAAAACTTCAGCGAGATTTACAAGAATAACCAACCGATTGGGTCATTCGCAAGTTTTGACAGTTTATATAATATCCAGCGTGTTTTTTGCGTCTTTAGCATGCAGTTAACCGTTGCCAGGCTATAATTGGAGCCCAGTCATCCACACCGACACTAGGCATTTTACACGAAAGTAAAATCATAAAATTTACTTTGACAGGCAAATGTTTGTCTATGTTGAATAATCCATTCTGAGGACAACCATTATCCAAATGAAGTCGCCTGTACTAAAATATACTTTACTAAAATAAAATTTGTTTGACTGCCTTTCAGCAGCAAGATTTCACCCGTAAATTATGCGTATTTAAATTTCCCGTTTATAAACAAACAAATAGTGGATACAGTCTAGACCAGCTAACTGTAAATTCGTTTGTAGTAAAGGACGAACATCAGGAATATGAAATGCAAAATAAAGTGGTAAGGATAGGTTATTTTAGCTCCCTGATTTTAAAAATCACAGCCTGGCCTGGTTTGATTTATTATTTTATGGCTAGGGAAGTAAACTTTTGTACGTGAATTACTACATTCATATACTAACATACGAAAAAGTTGTTTATTGTGGTATTTGTTAATGAAATTCCTTTTATTCTTTAGAGTTTCTTTTTGCTGATTTGTACACCATCCCTCTTGATTACATTGCTATACATAGATAAGTCTAGAAGGATAAATTTAGCGGAATTATACTAAATTTTAGTTTTTTTGCACATATTTTGCTGAGTGGCTGCGGCTACACCATTAACACACTATTCTATTCCAAATGATCTTGGGGTTGGTGATGTGTAAGGGGGCTTAAGTAACCTACCATTACCCGACATAATTTTGGGATAATTTATAGTCATTTTTATAATCTTGCCACAAGCCTAGATGTTCGCCGTCCAAGAACGCTTTGTTTGAATTCTCAAAGGAGAACATAACAGCAAGGGCGCAAGAATTTTACTACACAAATGTACTCAGTACAGCGTACTGAATGCGAGCAAAGCCTTCCGAACATAAACAAGACCGGACCACTCAGATGATGTCCTCGTGCGAGTAGCGACTCGATTGCATTCCCGACTCATCCGACTGGCGTGTTAGAGTCCTAAGCTTCGCCGCAGCTTGCGCGTCATCACGTGGACCGTATATGGGCAGACCGGTGGTATGGCGCGGGAGAGAGTTGTCAGGACACCCTGTAAGGTGGTTGATTACGCTGACTCCTAACAGTCATAAGTTTGAAAACAAAATAAGCATAAGATCAGGGTAATGTTGTCAGTGGATATTAAACTTTGGGTTCTAGGTTTTGTTTCAGAGTTTTTCAAACTAGGTTTCTAATTCTAACCGATTATGTTTTCACGAGGGAGGGAGAAATAAGGGTCACGATGTACTGCTTTGTCATGGATGGATGACTGCGTATGTACTGGAGACCTTGCTTGTAGTCTCCTTTCATATATTGTCTGAAAATGCGAAGTCACGTCTACTTCGCAAGGTTTTCGTATTGTGTACTGAGTTTGACTGTCAAATGCTTGTCGCTCGTCCTTTGTTGTATGTCGGCAATGGCTTTGTGGTGACGCATATGACACTAGTTTTTTTATTCTCATAGAAGTACTTTTACGTTGGTTATCTTGGTACTTTCGTAGGGTTTTTATAGCACGTACTATGTGACACCACGCTAACGCCCATCATCGATGCCGGCTTCGCCTTTACAAGCTAAAA